GCACACAGAGGTGACACAGGAACCCCGGGCACACGGAGGTGACACAGGAACCCCGGTCCCTCCTCACCGATGGCCTCGGGCGGGCGCCTCTTCAGCGAGGGGGGAGCGCTCTCCTTGCGGGTCAGGGGGTTCTTGCGCCGGTCCAGGCACTTCCTGGGCTTGCACCGCACCTTCAGGTTGGGCTCGGACGCTGCCGGGGACAGGGGTGAGTCCTGGAGCCACCTGAACGGGCTCCTTGGGGCCAGGCCCAGCTCCAGCCACGGACCAGGGACAGTCCTGATCTCTTGAGGGACACGGGGACAGTCCCAACATCTTGGGGGACACAGGGACATTCCCAATCTCTTGAGGGACATGAGGACACTCCCAATGTTTTGAGGGACACGGGGATATTCCCAGTGTTTTGAGGGACACGGGGACATTCCTGACATCTTGTGGGACACGGGGACATTCCCAATCTCTTTAGGGACACGGGGACATTCCCAGTCTTGAGTGACACCAGGACATTCCCGAGCCCTTACCTGTTTTCCGCAGCGGGAAATGCTCGGGGGGGTCGAGGGAAGCGCTGGCCACGGGGGACAGGAATGTGCTGAGCATGGCAGGGGAGGGACCCTCGGGCTCCAGAGGCTCCAGAGACCTGCGGGGAGAAGCCAGAGCCCCTTCCCAGCTGCCCGGCAGGGGCAGGGGCAGGTCCTGCTCGGGGCCAGGGGTGCCGGGGCTTTACCTGTAGGGCAGGGCGGTAGCGGGGGCGTTGCTGGTTCTCTCCAGAGCCGCCTGCTGCTTCTTCAGGATGACCTCGGCCAACTTCTGCTTCACCACCGTGCTGGCCACGGCACCTGCGCGGTGACCACGGTGACCCCACGGGGCTCGGAGCCGCTCCCAAGGGTCCCTGAGGCCGCAATCGCCACCCCAAAGGCTCCAGGAGTGACCCCGGGACGGCCGGAGCCCCCCGGGAGGCACAGCTGGGTCTGCCCCCATCCCATTCCCGATCTGTCCCAGCAGGAACGCTCCGTGCTTACAGCTCCGGCATTCGGCACCTCCCAGCGCCAGCCAATTAAGAAATTAATATTTAATTAGGTGCGATGTGGAGCGTCCCAAAATTGGGAGCGAGCCCCCGGCAGCTCCTCCAGAGGGCGCTGGGACACCGCGGCTGGGCGGGGGCCGCAAACCCATCCCGGGGGTCCCAGAGGGGTCGGGTGGGTGGGTGGGGGCTGCAAACTCAACCCGGGGGGCTGCAAACCCATCCCGGGGGTCTGTAACCCATCCCGGGGGTCCCAGCGGGGTCTGTCACCTCAATGGGGTCCGTAACCCATCCCGGGGGTCCCAGCGGGGTCTGCAGCCCCGCTCTGCTGATGCTCCCCCACCCCTTTCCCCCACGGGAAGGCAGAGCTCGGTCTGAGGAAGTGAAGACCCCCCCCAAAAGCCCCTCTGGTCCCCCCTCGGGCACAGGGAGCCCTTACTCCTCTTGCTCTTGTCCTTGTTGAGGATCTGCCGCAGCTCCTGCTCCTGCTGGCCCGGCTCAGCCTCGCGGTGCGGGGACTCCATGGCCACCTGTGGGACAAGGTGGTGGGCACGGGACCCCCAGCCCCACCCGAGCA